GCCAGAGTTTCTTTAGGTTGCTCCGAAGCTTTTAAACGTGACCGCACGAACATGGCTCAGTTTTCCTTAAAAGTGGTGTCCAGGTTGAGGAACCGCCCTTGTCCCAGGGCTTTCAGAGCAAAAGTGTTCCCCTCCTTGAGCACAAGTTTCGGGAGCTGAGAACATCAAGGTCTCCGGCCTTTCGTTCCGAGGCTGCTGCCCCATTCCGACAAGGAGATCGGGCCCTGCTTCCAGTTCCCCTCCCCCCCCCCGCCCTTCCCGGGTTCCTCGAAGGTGAGATGAAGGCCGTGCAAGGTCTTGTTTTGGAGGAAATCATGCCAGGGATGGATGGTCCGGGAGATAGATTAAATGCTTAGCACTTTGCTTGGTGGCGGAAACCAGCCATCCGGTTCCTTCGCCTTTTTGCCTTTTAGTGTCCAGTGGTAGTTTCCATTTAACCCACTAAAAGTTAATCTAATGGAGCCCCCTTCTCCCCGCTAAGAATTGACCGGCAAAAGAAGTGCACTTCTTCTCGTGGCAAACTTGTTGGGCACTTAAGATCCAACTGAAGTTTTTTCACAGTTCTGTTCCCAACTGGAACGTTTTCAAAGACGGGAGAGCTGTTGCAGAAACTGGTGCGTTCAACCGTCCAATCCTACTGTGGATGGACGAAATCCTGAAACCCTGAAAAACCATTGTTTGTTGGTATGTACATTGGAATCATCACTCCAGGGTTTCTTAGATGGTGCGAAATGGATGTCGTCCCTCCACAGTAACACTGCCTTCTCCCAGGTATCGAGAACCGACTCCAAGCAACTTCTCAGTTTGAAGGGCTGATGATTGAGACCTTTATTTGGTGAATTTTCGCTGCACCTTTGCCTCGCCACTTGGAAAAAATGGCAGGGTGGAAAAGCCATCAACATCTGTCCCAGACAGCTACCTTGTGAGATTCCACCCCCTTTGGACGCGGACCAAAAGAAAGGTGTTCCTTACTTGTTCTCCGGGAATATGATTAAACCATCCCCCTGTACAAAAGTGAACTCAATGAAAAGGCTGGGGCCAGATTTGATCAACTCAAGTTAGTTGATTCCAATGAGCAAGGGTCCTATGAAGCATCTTGTGACATCCCTGAGCCGTTCCGCGCAAGCTTGGGCTGGCGGTTCTTTTGGCGCGGCAAGCGCATTCTGTAGGAGCGCACTGCCATTCTGGCCCGTGTGAAGGCGTGGACGGGAGAAACGTCCCAACCCTCGACTCCCCCAAAAGCAAACTCTATGAGTTCATGGACTACTTGGTGGGGCTGGACCATTTCAGCAAACAAAAGATTGATTCAGTTTGTGGGCAATCCACTCAGGTGAGAAAATCGCGCCCCTCCGAAAGGAGACTCCTCTAAACATGGAGTCCCTGACGTGTTTTTGCATCGACGGCGCTTAAGCCCGTGTCGGTGGCCGAAGTGACCCTTTGATTCGTTTGCTAAGTGCCCTTTTTGGCTGAATAGGGGTTGGGTTTCTTGAAATCGAGCAGCTACCCGTGTCGAAGTGTGACAACTGCCACATTTGATTGGGGCCGACCCGGAAAGCCCGAACATGGCGTTTTAAGTGTCAAAGCGTGTCATTTGAGTGTCAGTGGTTGTGCGAATCGAGGTCACTTTCCCCTTGAAAAGGTCACATTACGCTAGTGTCGGTCCCCCCTGCGTGAGTGTCATTCGCGTGTCGCTGCAGCTCGGCTTGCGCAGAGTCGGTCCCCCCCCCCCTCCTGTGAGTGTCATTCGCATTCACGTGTCGCTGCGGCTCGATTTGCCCGGACTGAGGATGGATCTGCTGGAGAGGGCAACCCTGAGGGTCTAAGTGCCCTTTAAATGGCTTAAGGTGACCACTTTGATTTAGGACTAAGTGCCCTTATTTTCAAAATGGATCATAGCACCCACCCAAAAAGTGAATTGAGGGCACTGAAAAGAAGCTGGTCTTCTGGGTTTCAATTCGGCTGGGTTACCGATCGGGGGTTAAACGAGCGAATCCCCATGAAGCTCCTTTGCTCGGGCTCCCCCTATTTTTTCCGATGAAGGAGTTGTTGTAGTTTGCTCAGACGTGTGGCCGTGTTTTCGCTGAGGGCTCCCGCCTTAAGTAACGGAACATACTGGAAACCACTCATTTGGTTTCTTTTGGGGTTTTCACGGATTCTCAACAACCCCGACAAAAGACGTGCATACAGGTGTATGTCATGCATTGTTCATTGCAGTTCTTTCGTTTGTTCATTTATTGTTTTTGTTTGGTATTTGGACAACCTATAACGAGCACACCTTCGGGTAATCGAGCTCATGTGCAATGAAGCTTACTATTTGTTTGGTGGGTTCATGGTCAACCCAAAAGATTCTATCAGGCTTGGAGTGGTATCAGAGACACCCTTCCATGGTTTGGTGCTTGGATGTGCTTCTCTCTGTTTCGTTGGAATTTTCGGAGTGGGTTCAGCTTGAAAGGTGATGCTACTCTAGAAAACGCTTTGGATGTGGCTTTCGTGGATGCACTCCCATAGGATATTAAAAGATCACTAAAATAGTACTAAAACAGAACCAACAAGAAGGAGAGGCGAAATCCAGCAAAAGCGCACGCCTCTCACCGTTTTTCCTAGAGCTCGGGATCGATCGATCGATCGCTGGGCTCCGGAGGCCTTAGCCCAACAGCTCACCCAGCAGATGGCCAGCGGCTCAGAGCTTTGGGCGGCGAACGGCCCACGGCCTATGGACGTTTTTGCGGAAAAACTTGGTGGCGGAAACCAGCCATCCGGTTCAACTTGGCCTTGCGGCTTTTTAGGGGTTAAATGGGATTTCCATTTCAGCCACTAAAACTTAAACTTTTGGCGGGGGATTTGAGGTCAGCCCAGAAAAGTGAGCTCCTTTTGTCAGTCCTCAAACCAACTGGCACACTCCTTCAGTTTGTGAATGTTTCGGCGCAGGATGGAGGTCGGATTGATGCCAAGTTGGCACGACTTGCAAGGGTTGCGACCCAAAAAAGCAGGTGCACAGGGTACAGGCTCGTGGTTCAAAACGAGGGAAGCAGTTTGGGGAGCAAAAATTGACTTCGGGATGCCTTCGCAGAAACTGAAGTGGACAAGCATGTTTTTCCTTAAGGTGCTAAGTCATTTCACACAGTATTCTGCGCTGGTCGTGGCTTTTGGCTTCAGAGCACCCCACCCGATTCAAATCATTCTAGTCCCCTACATTAGGGGATTTAGACCCCACAACCCCATTCAAATCTTTCTAGTCGGATTTAGACCCCACAACCCCATTCAAATCTTTCTAGTCCCCTCTATTAGGGGACTCAGACTTGGAAGCCCTTAAAAGTGGTCGGTGGTTGCATAAATTCCCAGGTAGGTGATGTCCTGTATAGCTTGCCGAACAAGATCATCCCCATTTGCTGGTTCTTTCCTCTTTCGTGCAACTGGAAACTTGTAAATATGGGGTGGTCTCAAAACGGTGGACCCCTCTTTTGGTTTCGCATTTAAAGGGCAGCCAAAAGGGAACCAACCATTTTAGAGGAGCATTATTTTGAGGAAACCCCATATGGCACCAACAAAGCAAGCGGAGGTGTCGGTGTTCCAGTGCTGATCTATTTTCTTTGTAGCCCTAGAGGCTTGCACCGATTCCTTCGGAAAACCAATGGAGACCAGTGAGTTCTTCGTACAAGCTGAAAAGAAGCTGGCCACAGACAAAGTCCGGTAGAGACCAGCGCGGTACAGCACAAGGAAACTGGTCGAAACAGTGCACCTTGGCAACTACGTGACTAACTACTCAAAAACCTAGCCCCCGGAATGGCACAGACTACAAGGGGTAGAGGATGCCAACGGAATCCCAAGATATCAACCAGCGTTTGATCGGTTGGCCGGCTAGAGAATGTGGGTTTCAGGTTTGGCTCTGCTAAACTGGTTTCCTCAGTGCCTCACTGGCTCTGGTTGCTGCTTCTGGCAAACCATGCAGACTAGGCTGTTCAAATGGAATCCTTAATCCTTACCTTGGATAATGAAGGTCCTGTTTTGTAGTGGCTTTCCAATATGGATTGTGGATTGGGATTGGCCAACACCCCATTTTGAGCAGCCCGGACAGAGTGCCGTGGCGGGCAAATTCGGCCCAAAGGTTGCTTTCAGCCTAGCCATATAAGCATCTTTCCGGGTATGGTTTGCTTTTGTTCAAGTTCTTCCCGCCTTGGCTGAGGCTACTCTTCCCGAACCCTGAGTGAGCCAGCCAGAGATTGCCAGAGAGGGTTGCGGCCAAAACGAAAGCGTGCGTGATGCCATGCCCGCCCTCCGCGCACGTAGGAAAACCCCTGGAGGGAGACCTCTTCAAAGGCGGGCCAAACTGTTTAAGATTTTGAGTTTCTACGGCCAACAGAGAGGTGGACTTTTGTCTTGGCTTTCGTGCCATCTACCCCAAAATATACGTCCGAATTGTGCCATCTATTTGCCGGGTAAATTAAGATGTTGATTTTCTACTTATTGGGAAGCAGTGAAAGACTAACAGCGGTCACCTTTCATGACCAGGTCGAACTCAAACAGTGTATGCATGGTATCCAATGTCACCTCCATTCTGTATGTGACTCGTTGCCAAACAAGGTGTCTCCTCGGAACACAGTCTGTATTTGAAGGTTGCTCCGGCGCAGAATCGAACCGAACTCTGTGCCCAAAATATGGTTTGCGTGGCATCGAGGCTCGCAAGTTCGGAGAGAATAGCAACTAGGACGGCAGCATGGGTCAGTGTGGGGTCATTTTTTGCGTGCAAGTTAGACCCTGCGTGTAAGGCAATCGTCACACACCAGTCAGACTTGACGTTTGCCCAGTGAGACTTGATTTTCATGTTAAGAGGTTCGGCCAGGATGAAGCAACATGTGTAACCAGCAGACATGGCAACAGAACGCAGACCCTTGTTTCAAACGTGTCTGAAGGGCTTATATAGGCTTGGACCCTAAACAGCCCCCTTTAGAGTCGTGTCAAGACAAATGCGGCAAAGAAGCGCAAGGAACATGTTCCGCGAAGGGGGGGGGGGTCAAATCGCCCGATTTCGCGCCCGACTTCGGCATGGCGGGATCAGTTCCGCATGTCCCGGTGCCGCCGCATCCCACGGTGGTGCTGCTGAACGCGCGGCCCTGGCTCTACGACATCAAGGCGATCTGTCTTGGCAGACGTGCATTTTGCCTGGGTGTTAGGACTTCAACTTTTTGCCAACTTTATAATGGGTTTCCATTAAACCCACTAGAATTTAAACTTTTGGCAGGGGAGCAGAAAGCAATCGTGTTGGGATTTGAGCCGATCTTGCTGGCTCGGGCGTTGGGGAAATCCCTCTTAGATTCATTCCCTTAAACTTGGTCGCTGAGAATCGGTGGTTGCCCTCAGTGTCCCCGACGGTGTCTCCAGCTCCTCTCGAGTCAGAAACAAGTGGCGGTTTCGTGGCTAATCCTGGTGGGATCCTCACAGGTCCAAGCCAACTCACAGGGCTGCATGCTGTTTCTTTCTGCAAGGAGGTGCCGATTCGTTGGTGATGGACATCTGGGGGTTGGTTTGGGCATGTTTGGGCATGGACTGATTTCAAAGCTGCAGAGATTTGAACCCAGGTTCTTGTTGTGGAAAACCTGGGTTTAGGCCCAATGTTTGTAGTGCCAAGGATTGTTGAAAGCGGGCTTGGGATTTACAAGAAGTGGAATCGACACCTGAGGACTCCTTGGTCAGCACTCGATGTTTGAAAGCAACAGGCCCAAGTCTGGAACAGTGGACCCCTAGCCCCAATTCTCCGGCCCCTTCGCTTCCTGTTCCCAAGCTCATTCCAGAGGGGAGTGCCGTGGTATGCAACTTGAATCAAGGTGCCCTTGCTTTTGACTGACGGTTGCTGGGCCCGCTTTCCCGCACAAGACGCGAATTCCTGGGCCGGGACCGGTCCCAGGACAGATCGCAGGACCAGTCCTGGGACCAGCTGGAAGAGCATGGAGTAGGTGTTGTTATTGGGGGAGGGATTGTCCCAGCAAGGCGTGCGCGGAGCATGTTCATCCAGGCTGTTAGCAACCCAGGGCTTCAAAAGGCAACTAGATTGGGCGCCATGTCCGAATTTCTGTTGTTTTCCACTGGGATTTCCCAGTTGTGTACTTTTGCGTGGTGGTGAAATTCATGTGCCCAGCAGATTGAAACTGTGTGCATGTGTTTTGGGGGGCTGGCCTGGAGTCGCACGACCAAAAGCGCATACCCGTGTTGGGTCGCGGAGAGGCATTAGGTTTCACTCGGTTGAGACCTAAACTGAAGCGGTTGATTCTTTGTTGTTGTTTTGTGTGTATATATATATATAGTTTTTGGTGTGGGGACGGACATACCTACCCCAAATGGACATACCGGGGTGGGGGAGCTGAGGAAGTTGAGGTCCCGCTGATTTTTTGCTGAGGCCACCAGCCTCAAGGAGGTTTCAGAGGAGCAACTGGCTGAGGCGGTGCATGGTGCGGACGTGGTTTGGCTTCAAGGCGCGAGGGATCGGCACGGCAAGCTAGTCGGGTCGGATGGTAGGGGATTCAGCTCTTGGTAGCTTTGGCTTTAAACCTAGGGTAGATCAAAAGGTCCTTTAAAAAGGGGGGTAGGCTCAAACGCAGCAGCTGTCATTAGAGGCCGCACGCAAAGTAAACTCTTTGCTCGGCAGCCCTGCCTTGTGGTTTGAGGAGGGTTGCGCACATAGCTCAGGCAGCGTCTTGGTCAACCGCTCGGTTCACGCTGTCAAAGCACAGGCAATAATCCCGGCTCCGGGTATTGTGACAAAAGCGTGGGCAAGATGGGCGGCAGAGCAGTTCTTAGGGAGGAATCCAGAAGGGGTCCAGGCTGTTCGGGGCATTTCGGGCTGGGGAAACCACCTTGAAAGAGGGAATGATCAACAATAGCTTCATGACAAAGCAAACAAAATGATAGTGGGTTTCCTTTGGTGTCCCCTGAAAACCACCCGACAAAGCGTACCCTCACACACCACTCCACGACACCAAGCCGGAGCCGTGGTGGTGAAGTTAATCGTTCTGTTCCGTTGTGGGAGCGGCCGGGGTGGAAAGCGGCTAATTACTGGCCTTTGGACATGCGGGTGTTTCTCAAAATGAGTTCCCCTCCAGGTAGGGATCCCAAAACGGGTCCCCCGATTTGGAGAGAGACCCATCTGATGGGCCAAGTTTCATGGGATGTTCTCCGCAGCGCGCACACGAATCCATGCCAGGCGTTTGGGAGCTAGGCCTGGCTTTCTGGGATTTTCCGGGCTGGCCGGGCCGGGGGTTGGGCACCTGGCTCAGAGACCTCTCGTCAAGAGCCCTAATCGCTAGTCTTGGCTGGCATCTGAACCCCGTGTCTTTTGCACAGCTCCTGTACCACCAAAGCGAGGGGGTCTTTTCACTTGAACCTTCTTATGGGAAATGAGTTATATATTGGGGTTCGGGAAAAGTTCCTCAAGTCTTTTTTGCATTTCAATTGAAATGATTTGGGGAAATAACATAAAGACTGAAATGTATTGCGGAAAATTATTGTTGAATACAACTATAGATGTATTTCCCAGCTATTCTTATATTTCCCGCAGCAAATTGTTCAGCGTTTGAGCTGGGGGTAATAGCCAGTCACCACACGAGAGCCAGGCGTTCCGGGGCAGTTGGGGCGAAGTCAGCTCGGACTTATGGGTGCCAACAGTTTCCCTCTAGGAAAAACTGGCTTCACTAGATCGTTACGCTTCTTGGCTGAGTCGTTTGTGTTTTATGTGTTTTTGTTTTTTCACTCTCTTGTTTAATGCTTGGCCCTGTGAGTCCTCGACCATACTTTTATGTGTCTAGGCCATAAACTGCGGAAACCACCTGCTGGTTATGTCCCTCGACCATAAAAAGGAAAGAGGGTCGCAGGCATCATTTGACTGGCCGAGTATGAGTTGCTTTGGATCTGTTTTTTTGGGGATGTGATTGCGCCGTTGTTTTGACTGAATCGCAACGCTCAATACATCGTATTTCAATCGGCGTACATGTCTGATCGTTTGCGCTCGGATTTGACACAAACGAAATACTTTGAGCCTTGTAGAGCCATACTAGCTGCATTCGCTTTCGTAAGGCAAAGTAGTTTCAAGCGAAGATCACAGGAATGTTTGAACACCACGCGCCGGGCCCCGGCTACTTTATGCGGATGATTTGGACTTTCTTGGAACCGAGTTCTGCAGAACCTGCTGGTGCGTCCAAGCCCCGTTTTGCTGGCTGGATAGTGTGCGCACGTTGTCATTGTGTTATATTGTGTTGCTCGCTTTTTCTTTGCCTTCACTCATCAAGTCACAGGCTGCATGAACCCGGCGCAAGCATTGCGATGAAAACAGTGTTTTCTTTGAAGAACATGTAGCGTGGACAAACCATGGACAAATCGTGGAACGACCATAAAAAGGCGTGGAACGACCACAAAAAGGCGTGGAACGACCATAAAAAGGCGTGGACAAATCCCTAAAACGGCATGGACAACTCCCTTTTGGACAGGCCCTGGTTGCGGGCAAACAATTCCCAGGCAAAACAATTCATCCGATATTTTGCCTTCGACAAAGCCAAGTGCGGACACCCCCCAACCTCACCCCGTGTTTTGTTTTTGTGTTATTTTTTCTGGGAAAACACTTGCAACACATTGGACCTTCAAACTCCGCTGTCTAAAGCTTATGAGCACAAAAGACTAAAGCACCCAATTTTCATATGTTCATTGAACATTGGGAGTCTAGCAAGTTCGAGCGCGTAAGAAAAATGCTAGAACTAGCTGAGGAGTAAGCACAGCCGGTTTGATCAGCTTGCTTGTCATAATGATAGTCTGGCCGACAAAATTTATCGGCAAAGCAGGCATACAATCCTGGCAATCACCCGCACTCAAATGTAGTCTTATGTGACATTCTTAGGCGCTTGGCTGGTTGACTTCTCAACCTGCTTGCCTTACCGATAGGACCAAAAAAGCCAACTTTGTACAATCCCCGTTTATAGCCTCCATTTATACGTCTTTACCCATTTTACGGTCTCTGCTTCTCGCCCATACTTTTAATGGTCTTTGGAAGCATAGGGTGGGGCTGTTGAGGCATTGAGGCTTGCGTCAGTGTGCATTTTGCGACAACGCAAATCAAAGGGCCATGCCGGATTACGGCAGCTTTGTTCGGACGTGACGCACACTAGTAGGAAGTCAACACCACAAGGAGGATATCGATTGCTTTTCTCACCGTCACTAAGTTTCCATTGAACCCGCTGAAAGTCAGACTTTTAGCAGATGATATGGGGACAGCCCATATTGTTCTATGTTTCTTTCGGGCTAGGTTTTCGGTAGTGCGATTCAGGCACTTCAAGGGTGACAAAGCAGTGATTGAATGGGAGTCAACTCCATCGCAGAAGTCCTGGGGCTGGGCCAACCTCGCAAAAGACTCCTTTGTCGATATCTGAGAACGGGAAGGCAAGAGGCACAGTGAATGTGCGTACGGGTGTTTCCTTTCTTTGGGGTACCATTTTTTTGGAGGGCACCCCTTTTCTGGTGGTTATAACGGATAACCACCAGCCCTTCTTTTGGAAAATGAGCCCTTTTCTGGTGGTTTTGAAGGAAAGCCACCATGTTGGGGGGGGCCTTTAAAAAAAGAAGCAAAACAATGTGCTCGAATGATTTGGTTGTGTCGCACACCCGCAACCGCTAGTTGGTTGATTTCACTGCCAGTCAAAGCGATTCAGAGGCGTCCGTGGAACCCAGCGCATTCCCTTCAAAAAAAAAGAGGTTCTCTTGGGACAAACGCATGGCACACCCGGCCTTTCAAGGCTTCAAATGCACTCTGGTTGGTAAAGTGGTGAGGAGGTCCATGGTGAAGAACCAGCTTAAGGTTCACATCCCCCCCTTAAACATGAAAAAGGGACGGCGACCTTGGAATTGGGGACTTGTCATAATCTTATCAAAGTCACCTAAGCGGGTCAAAGGGAAACAACCCCACTTTCTGGCCTAACACCAGTGGGGTAGCCTTAGGATACATTTTTGCATCTTACCAGTGACTCAAAGTGAAGCAAACAAAATACACCATTCATTCTATAACTGGGCCGAACTTGAATCATGGGTCAAAACGGGCCCACTTCTCAGCTTGGAGGAGGGTTCACCCCAAAAGACCGCAGGCCCCTACGGGCGGCAGCACGACCTGGCGGACCCCGGGCGTGTCCAGCACTTCCGCGACTGCCTGGCGGCGCTTCGGATCTGTCAGGGTTCCGCCTTGACGACCCCAAGGAAGGTCCCCCAGCAATTGGTGCCAACTTGTACCGTGTCTTTCTTGGGGGGAGGGTGAGGGTTCCCTAGTAAAAGAAAAACTACAGAAAAAAGTGGGTACCCTTATTCTAACCTTTCCACTGGAGGACCTAGCCAAGGTAGACGTCAACCCACCTGGACCGCCAAGTTGCGGCTTTTTCAGTCACTGTTGCTGGCTTTTGGGGCTAAAGTGCATGGGAAAAAAAACAGCCACTGGCGATCTAGGCAGGGAGGGCTGATATCCTGGAAAGGGAAACTGCTGGGTTCTCAGATTATTTGCCCTCCCGCCCTTTTCACATGGAACGGGTTCCCTTTAGGGGAAATCAACCTCTCAGACAATTTACCCTCCCACCAATTGACAGAAGGAACGATTTTCTCTTCAGGGGGACCGTGTCCCTGTCAGGTTCCACATTAGTGGGTCGGAGGGTATCCACAACAAGATTCATGGGGGTTGTGTTTTGTGAGGGTGCCCTGTTTGGGGGGGGGGGGTTTTAGAGGGATACCCAAGGACGTCCCCGGATTAGTAAACCCCTTGTTTACTATTTGATATGGGAGCGTTCCCTGCCCCCCTCCCCATATTGATCAACAGGGTTTATATACAACATTGAATGTTTATATACAACACAAACAGGCTGTATCTCTGACTGCTTTCGTTCTCCACTCAGGACTGCGCATGTTCTATCCACAACTGCAGATGGTGCCGCTATTTGTCTCAACATTCACGGAAACCAGCTCCAGCGAGGGACAACAGGAAGTACCTTCCCCAATCAAAGCCCTGGCAATTTGTTGGGTGTGTAGCTCGATGTTTTTGGCTGGTTTCTCAACATCAGACGCTATTCCCCGACTTGGACAAGTCACTTGGGTCGCTCAAAACTTTTCGCCTCGGCGCGCTTGCAGGGGTAGGAGGCTTCGGCCCATGGCCCTGCAAATGTGGGATCTTTTTTTCCCTCCCGCTTTGGGAATCTTGGCTGCTCCCAGCCATCTGGTTCAAAGTAGCTTTTTAGCCCGTAGTGTTGAGTGGGGATGTCCATTTAATCCGCCAAAAGGGAGCAGTGAAATCACCGGGATTGCTTCGCCACTTTTTGAAGATGCGTGTTCCCAGCGTTGACGTCCAGCCAAATATCGCGCGCGACATACTGAGTCTGACAACCGAGCAGTTTGCGACTTTCTTGCAAAGAAACTCAGGAATTGAGAATCAACTCAGGAAGTGAGAATCAACTCAGGAAGTGAGAACATTTTTATTTATTTTTCTTGTTCTTTTTGTGTGTGTGTTTTTGGCCCTAACCATCAAACTGGGGGGGTCTCTGATTTTGGGAGACAACTCCTTCACCATGTTCCGCCGGGCGGAGAACACGTGGCGTGCCTCCTTTTTTTTCCGGGTATGATCTTGGTCTCCGGGCCGCTCGGAGAGAAAAGTACCTTCACAGATCTGTGTTTGTCCAAGCAAAGGTGCAGTCATGGCGTTTGTGCCAGGGCTTGATCTTGCCTATCGCAGCGGGGTCCAACAAACTGAACATTGTTGGGCGGTCTCGGGTTGGAATGCTTCCTACTAGTCCTTTCGCCTCGTTTTAGAGACGCCGCAGGCCAGGACCAAGCAAGAAAAGCTGCGGCAAATGAGATCTCACCTCCGCCGCTGTTGGGCTGGTGGGCTGGTGGGCTGTCAGGGTTTGGCTGGGTTGGGTTGTCGGGCTGTTCGGCTGTTTGGTTGTTAGGTTGTTGGGCTGCCGCGCAGTTGGGGTGTTGGGCTGCTGGGCTCAACCGGTGATCCGATTTGTTGTTTCAAGAGTGGCTTTTTTCCTTACCTACCGCACAGGGAAACGGCCCCTCGCCGCGAATACCGTAGAACCCACTTCTAAGTGGACTCCTGGAGTTCACCCTGGTGGCAAAGCAACCAAGGTGCCAAACTTGGCCGGACATCGAAGTAGGATTCCCAACCACCCTGGTTTCCCCCACAGAACACGAAAAACATCCAAAAAGCTGAGTTGAACGGGATGGCGAGCCACCAAGCAAATTGGCATGCATGAAGTTCCAGGGCGCACCCCGCTTCCCAATGCTCGAGGGTGTGGGTTCTCCAGCCATGCGCCTCCCTAAATGGTGAACAAGGGCTTGCCAGGTACCCCCACAAAGCCTGGCCCTACTTTTGCGCCACACCCATTGCATGGCAATTTGCTTGGTGGCTCCCAGCCATCAGTAGATGTTTTAGTGTTTAGTGGTTGGGTTTCCGGATGTAACCCACTTAGCGTGGGATCAGTTTGGGCAGCCCAGGAAAGGACAATTGCGCAGGTTTTCGTCTTGTCCATTTACCAGGGCAAGGTATTTTGGGCCGATTCCTATTTTTTGAGCCACACCCATTTCCTCCTGCTGGTGCTCAGCAGATGAGGGAATGACCCTCAAGCCATCCATGCTATGGCTTCCCTCAAGGGAATCGGGTTCATTCCGACTCATTCCCTACCCATCGCACCAGCAAGTCATCACAACCAATTTGGTGGTGGGTCCAAACCGTTTTGGGATCCCATTTTGGTAGGTGAATTCACCACCCATTTTAGGCTTCCTATTTTAGTGGTTGGATCGGGACTGGGGGTGCGAGCTTTGGATGTTGAACAGCCCATGGCCATGTGGCCCCTGGGTTTTTGACGGTTTCCCCTATTCGTTCTTTGCGCCCCCGCGCTTCCTTTCAGGGAATTTCTGGGTTCCTTCCTCATACAGCCCGATTGCAAAGCCAGTCTCACTTCCAGTTGAAGATTTGTTTTGTTTCTTTTCCCCAGTTGGTTTTAAAAGCACTCGATTTCACTACCGGAAAAATGGGGGGGGATAATAAATGAATTTTCCCCCGCTTCCATTTTTTGTTTTGCCCCAGGGGGCGAAAACGCACAGCTCAGGACTTCTCGGAGGCGGACTGCATCGGCTCCCCCTACGCCATCAGCCGGTACTGCTGCAACCGAGCGGAGCTTGGCACCGAGGCGAACCCAAACCGAAGCCGAAGCGAAGCCAAGGGAAAGCACCGGGAGGCTTTTCGTTGCCTGCTATGGGGTAGCGGGTCTTTAGACTTTTCAAGTGTTTGGTTGAAGTCAAGTTGGGTTTTCCACTCAACACCCCAACAAGTTGAACTTTATTTGAATGAGGGTCAACAGCAACCAAGTTGTGTTGAACGCGGTACAATTACGGCTCGCTGGTTTGAGCGGCTCGTTTTTGGAACGCGGGGGAAGTCAAACCTGAAGCAACCCTATCAACCTAAGCCAAACCAAGCCCTCCAAAAGCACGTCCTGAGACCAGTGCGTGTGTTAACAAGCGAGCCACAACTGGTGGTCCAAATTGTTCCCCCGCCGTGCGAATCGCGGCGCACGGCTTCCCCAATGCGAGGTTCAGCCTTGAAGATCCTGGTTCTTTTGGAGCGCACACGGGCAACTACCCCACCCCCAAACTGGGGTAGACTTAGGATACATGTTACATTTCACCAGTGACTCAAAGGGAAGCAAACAATAGATATACATTCTATAACTGGGCCTAAAATCTAATCATGTAAAAATGCCAAACCAACTGGAGGGAAGCTGATTGAAGCAAGGGGGCCTAACTTTCAGAAAATCTTCAGCAGGCCTTCTTGCAGTTATGCAGATGTTTGCAAAGTGCAACAACTTTGGCAAAGGAGGCAAACATATCATTGGCTCATAATGACGCAGTCCTTGTGTTTCCCTTTTTGCATGATCTAAGCCTTACCTTTGCTGCATTGTTTGTCGGTGTTTCCAGGGGAATAGAACCATTCAAACTTCTTAGGTGGTGAAGGATTTCGTCCAGCCACAGTAGGGAACCCCTCCAATGGTTGATGGATCCATGTGTAAATTATCCAATTGAACGAATCATACCCATGCCGCAAATGCGGTGATTTGTGGATCAGCCTGTCATTGTTTTTTGTTCTTTCCAAAGTGGTTCAGGACAAAGCTTGGCGGTTGATTGGTCGTTTGATGGAGTAATATCGAGGGCACTGATGGGTTGATCGCCTGGGTTGTTTGATTGCTTTGTTACTTTTGTGACGGATTTCATTCGCTGAGTAGCTGATTGGTCGTTTGGGTGTTTGGAGGTTGGCTGATTGGCTGATATGTTTACCTTGGCGAATCCGTTAGGCCCTGCGTGATGTACAGGATCCCCTTGTAGATCACGTCCTTCAAGGCACCCGGGTTCAAGAGCACTGCAATGAAAGATCCCATTCAGCATTTTTGTTCACATACTGCTGCAATCCACCACTCAAAATCCGAACTGGGGTCTCCTTAAAGATCTTGGTGGCTCCCAGCTTAGTGTTGAGTGGTTTCCGTTTAACCCATTGAAGGTCACTTTTCGCGGATCAGAAGCGGTGGTGTCCATTTAACCCAGGGCCCACAAGTTATCATGGTTGTCGTTGGGAAACATTTTACATTTTTGCTTATTGTGGTTTAGTTCGGAAGTCTGGACACGCGTCCTCTGGATTTTGCGGGTTCCCCCAGATAAGCGTGCCTTCTCAAGGGCTGGCATGTTGGTTTGTCAGCCTTGGCTCTGGCCTGATACTTTTAGGCATTACCAGTTCAGAGGCATCACCAGCATCAAAGGCATAACCAGCATCAGCAGCAGCACAGGCATCACCAGCAGCCATGGATGCGGATTTGCACGTCACACATCGCCAAACAAAACAGACTCATATTTTTTCCTGGCCTTCTCCAGATTTTGCGGGCCTTCTCCGGTTTTGCGGGCCTTCTCCGGTTTTGCGGGCCTTCTCCGGGTTTGCGTGCTCCCCCAACCTCTGCGTGCTCGCTCATTTTTATTTTTATTTTTCAAAAAAAATAAAAAGTTGAGAAGGCACTGTCCACTTGGGAAAAGCCTATGGCCAAAAATGAGGTACCTTACAGTAAAAACGCACATCGGCTTTTCCCCGGGGTATCGTGCCTTCTCAGTTTTTTTTTTGTTTTCTTTTTTTCGGGCGGTTCCCCCCAGCCGGTTCTGCGCCGCCCTGATCGGATCCCCTGTTATTTCTTGGGGATCCTAGCTGGTTTTTGACCACAGGGAAAACAACAGGGTTCCATTTCCAGTCCCAGGGGCCCAGATTGCTTGTGAAACAGCGCCTAAAGAGAAAGAGGTCTCAGTGCGTTGAACCTTCGTGTGAGGGGGGGACAGCTGGGAAAGCAATCATCAAGTAAATTTATGTCTGGGTGTAGCGCCCTTTAGAGCGGTTCCAAGAACTGAGAAGGCATGGTCCCCTGGAGAAGCCTCGGGGATGGGGGTCCAGACCCTCGATTAGTGGTTGACATCCCCGCTTAACTGCTAAAATTATTCAATTTTTGCTTCCCTTCCAACGTCAACCAAGGGTAACAAAGGTGGTTTGGATTGGCTGGATTTGAACCCCTGAGTGCTCAATAGCAGGTCACTTTTCGCGGATCAGAAAACGGGCTCTCGCCCGGATGGTCTTCCTTTTTTGTTGCCAGGAGGACCTCGCCTCCTTCCGCGCGCGCTTGGCCAAGCGCAAGGTGGGCCTGATGCTGGACTTCGTGCCCCTCGGCTCGTTTTTGTTCCTTCGAAGAATTCTGTTCTTTTCTTTTTCGTGGGGCGGATGGGCTTTCCTGTTTGCTTTTTTGTTTTTTCCTGGGGCAGATGGGCTTTCCCTTTTGTTTTTTTCGTGGGGCGGATGGGCTTTCATTCTTTCTTTCCTTTTTCCCGTGGGGCGGATGGGCTTCCCTTATTTTTTGTTGTTTTTCTTGTTGTGCGTGGGAAGGCGTGGAATCGTTCTCCTGGCGTGGTGATTTTTGTGGAGTTGGTAAAAAATCAGGGGAACCAGCAGGGATACAGGGGGAACCAGCGATGCGGGAGGTTTCACCTAATGCATATCCCAGCTCCCTCCGTATCCCCGCTTGTTTGTTTGTCCAAAAATACCAGTTTGGGGTCCCAAAAAAGCATTGCCAGACACTTAGCTCACCGGCCAAACCTTTGGTGTCATTCCCTTTCCCCTTTCAACCAGGTACTTTGCAGGTCCAAGTCTGGCAGGGCCCTTTGCGACCCAAAAAGGCCTACCAGAACTCCCCCCATCTTCCCGAAGAGTTGGGAAGGGTTTCCCTGCACCCGAATACTGCGGACACAGCGGGTAGAAGGAGCCTTTATTTACTTCCTGGTTTGGGTGGCTCAAACATCACCTGTGCCAAAATGCTGTCACAATTTGCTCCTATATCAAAAAGGTATAAGGGGTATGTACAAAGGGTGTGTGAACTACCGATGGACAATATAAGACCCCCCAAAAAAGGCCTTGGCACAAATGCAATCATCATTGAATGTTATGCTGTGCATATGACTGATTATGAATACATATGCATTTAAGTATACATATTTATGTCAGGGATGATTGCCTGCTTAGACCTTTGCACATTTTGCTGAAATGGCTGAGCCACTGGCAGCGGGAAGTTGTGAAGTTGGCGGCTCTGTTTGTTGGATCCGAATCGTCCCAGGAACTGTTGCCGATAGCTCACTGATAGCGGCTGGATATCGTTCTTCAGGATTTGCATTCATTGTACAGTTTGCAACTCTGGGACTTGCGTTGGGGTTTGCCCCATTGCGTGTGTCAAAGAACCCTTGGCTCAGGGTCAAACAGAAACTCTTGAGGTTCTTGAAGACTGGCTGGTAGATGATGGGTAAGTTGTTGACTGGCACCTCACACGCGCACAAATTCTGTAATTTGTATGACAGGCACTGATGGACAATGGCTGAATGTTGGATAAATGATGTGGATCTACAAGAATAAGTCCACATCTGCAAGTTGTTTTGGCTCGAACAAATGCAAATCAAAGAGCATGTTCAACCAGATTTCTTGCCACCAAACCCACGCCCTGGCTCCAATCGTCATGCGAGGCCCAACCACATGGCAAGGGACAGCCCCTGGATCGACAAGCCTGGGCTCTTCATACAAGGCTGCCCGGTTGGTTTGTCGATCGTGCTTCCTGTCAGAGAAACTGAAATTGGTGGTTTGGATTTGGATTTGGCTGCAAATGGTAGCCGTTTCGCCGCCAACAGGTTGGACCCGCGAATGGCTTCGGTTTTCCCTGTTGGTTTTCCGCTCAAGCACCAAAAAGGGTGGAACCACACCGGCGCAGGGGATTGTTGAAATTGTTGACGAAGGGTTTGGGCTTTGAGAAAGCAAAGCGATAAGATGATCAACACCCCACAGGGAGGAGTAGACACTTCGCCTGCTTTGCCTTGGTTCCCGGTCATGTGCCAATTCTCTACCCAGGCCTTTGTGACTCTGCGGAATGCGGCCCCTGGTACTGCCCACTGTACATTTCGGAATCCAAGCTGCCAAGTTCAGCTGGGTTACCGTTGTTCCGTCGGCAGGTGATAGATTCACCGGGCACTTCCAGGACCAAACCAAACAGCCCAGACCCGCGGTGCGGCATGAACCTCTTTCCGTTTGTTTCGGGTGGTTTGCCTCTCAAAAAGGGGAGTGCCCAAACTGTTCTTACCTCTTAAAAACACAACTTTTCAGCTTTCTGGGTAACATGGGCTATATGTCTGTAAAAGATTAACTTCCCCAGGGCTTGCAGTTTTACGGTGAAAGTGTTGTTCCCACAGGTCCAAGCAGCTCGGGGGAAGTGACCCGATGTCTTTGGCCCCCGGCTCAGGTTCCGAGGGGCCCGTCTTCGGCCGGGACCCCTACTCGGGGGACTGGACAGATACGGCGCAGCTGAACTACTGGCGCCTCGACTGTTCGACTGCCTGGGTCCCGGGACCCAGCTCGGCGCCAACTTTTACCCTGTCCAATTTTTTGGGGGGAGGGTTCCAAGCTACTAAAATGACTAGACTACAGAAAAAATCGGGTACCAACTTATTCGAAGCTCTCCACTGGAGGAGCTAGGACTGGTACAAGCTTCTCGCTGCCATGGAACCCACCGATGAAGGGGGATCCTTTCAGGCTAAAATATGTTCTTCCAGGATCCTTTTGGGAGGTTTTACATGGATGGGAGGGACACTGGCCGCTTCAAAGGAACACCGAGAGAGTGGCTGTGGTAAACTACAGAGTCGGCACGCTGCTTTTCAGGTGGTGTTTGATTGGTTGGAGCTATCTTTGGTTGGCTCAAAAATATTTCAGCAGGTCCCATTCCTGGTTTTCCTGTTCCTCAACCAGGGCAGGCGAATCAAACTGAGGCGCTGCAGAGTTCTTTCCACAGCCTCCAAGCCCCTTGCAACCCCCGTGTTCCATGCTTTCCCTGGGTGTGCCTTGAACCGAAAATAGGGTGCCACCTGGAAAAGACGAGCCACCCCCTAGCACTCGTAACCCAACTGCTTTTTGAACCATGTCAAGAATCCCAAGTACTTGGATCTTCAAGGCTACAACTATGGTTGTAAGCGGGGTAACTTACCACGGTTATACCTACTAAGTAGATTGAATACTCCGTGCGAAATGGATTTCGTCCATCCACAGTATCAAAGTGTGTAGCCACAGGACAGGGTCCTGTACAGTGCCTTTTGAAAAGCAGATACCCAATAGGAACCTCATTTTAGGCAGCAAAGGTAAGGCTTAGATCATGCAGAAAGGGAAGCACAAGCATTGCGTCATATGAGCCAATGAGAACTGCCAAACCTGGTTTTAATTTTTACCCCCATTTGCAAAAGTTGTTGCACTTTGCAAACATTTGCATAAATGCAAGGAGGCCTACTGGAAGATTCCTGAAAGTTAGGCCCCCTTGCTTCAATCAGCTTCCCTCCAGTTGGTTTGGACTTTTCCGGAGGTGGGGTGATTGCCCGTGTGCACTCTGACAGAACCAGGGTCTTCAGGACCGCTGATGGGTTGATCGCCTGGTTTGATTAGTTCGTTGCTTTTTGTGACTGATGTCTCGCTGAGTAGCTGATTGCTCGGGCCTCCCTTGCTTCAATCAGCTTCCCTACAGCTACTTGTTTTGGAGGTTGGGGGGGTGGTTCCCGTCAAGGAAAGCACAACTCCCATTTGCTTCAGAATAATTATCTGTTTTCCCCCTTGTGGTTTTACAAGGAACTTATCACCACTGGGAATATTGATATTTTTCCCCGGGGCCTTAAGCAAATGGAAGCGCAAGGACCCGGCGGCTGGTTGGTTCCGGCGGTCTTGGGCCGTGCGGTCGTGAGGTCTGAGACCTGCCGGGAGCACATGCTGCAGGAGCTGCTGAGCCTGGCGGAGCGCTGTGATGGCGCCAGGGTGGATCCATCGACGCAAAAAGGGGGGGGGGGGTTGTGTTTGTTTGGCGGAGGACGTACACAAATGTAGTCATATATGTATGTATACATATATAAATATATAGAACAATGTGTATCCAGAAAAAGATAGATATGGGAGTCGTTCTAAAGGTCCTTGTAATCAGTTTAGTATTCGGTGACCATCGGTGTTGGTTGAGGTAGCTCCGCGAAAGATTCGCGATGGAGTTGCGAAAGTAACTTTTTTGTTCGCGAAAGTTTTGCGTAACTGCATCTTGTAAATCAGTGCTATGTGAAAACACTCATCTTTTCTGCTGAACCGTCCTTCTAAGCTGATTAAAGCCTTTTGTTGCTTGTCCCCCAACTGGTGACGCTACAGTTTTAAAACCCTGCTTCTCTGGTTGTTGCTCCAGGTGTGCGGGTGTTAGTCGGTGGCTTTAGAAACGTGGGTGATGTTTCGCGAAAGGTCCGCGAAAGTTCCGCGAAAGCCCGCGTGAAAGCGCAGGCTTCGATTGCGAGGGGAGGTACTTTCTGAGCGCCGCGCTAGTCAGAGTACTAGCTTGGTACTGAAAAGTTGCGACTTCAAGCTGGAGCTGCGCGGCTTTCCTGCTGGAACTGAGGAAGTGCATTTCGTGTACTGGTCCGGAAAGTTGCGACTTTCCAGCCGGAGCTGCGGAAGTGCATGTCATGTACTACCCTTGTAATGAAAAGTTGCGACTTTATTTCGCCTGGTACTTGAGCAAAGAAAAGTGCACGGCGATGAATCCGCGAAAGATTCGCGAAAGTAACTTTTTTTATTCGCGAAGAATGGCCGATTCGAGACAAAGGAATTTAGAACAACCACCATATATATATATATCTATATATATATATATATGTATATATATTTACACATAGAAACATATACATATGTATGAAAGGAAGGCCAAAAAGAAGCCACGCCTCCTGTTTAGCACCACCAGTTTGGGGTTCCTGAACCAGCAAATGGTATGTCTTGAAAATAGGGGCACCCAAGACCCCCAAAAAGGCAAACAAACGAGTCACAACAAAGTGCATTTTATGTGGGAAAGTAAGGGGGATGACTAATTCAAAATGGGGAAATCACGCCATGTAACCCCCAAGAGCAACAAGGCGAGTTGAGTGTGTCTCGCAAACCAACCTCGGTTTAAGGGTACCTGTGTCCCTTAAAAGGTGCATAAAACATACAGGTTGAAAACTAGCAAAGCTGGTTTGGACAAGTTTCTTGGAACCTCGCAACAGCTGGATTGGTTTGGACAAGTTGATTGAAACTGGCAAAGGTTTGGACAAGTTGGCCAACATGTATCCTAACCCCGGAGAACAGTACGCTTCAACTACATGGCACGAGTAAAACGGTACCTGGAAGATGACTTTCGTCACCCTTTGTCAATTGCCATGTTGGTGAGGGGGGGTACCTGAAGTTTTCCAGCGGCCAGGGGGGGGAATGCTTGGATTGATCCAGAGGATGCTAATCAGAAGAACCCCCTAAAATGGATTGATCCCCTAAAGGGGTCCGGAGTCCAAAGTCACCATTCAACTTCCCCCTAGTTGATGGTTTTCCATCTAGTTGATGGTTTGGCTGGGTGGTTTGGATTCGGGGGTAGCTTCCCATTTACCCTCAACGAGAACCAGAGAGCCAGCGGTTCAAGATCAATCCTCTTGTCCACACTCGGTATGCTTTGGGGAGAAATGACGATCGGCTATGCACCCCCAGAATGTCAGGATGAGTGCCAACTCGCCTTTTGGCCCTTTTGCCGAGAAAGGTGGGAAACGACTGGATCAACCTGTGGACCCTTACAGGCCAAAAGTTTTTTCCATCGGTCAGTCGGACTCGGGTTTTCCCAAGGACATGGCCATGCTTTGCATCAACGATGTGATCGAGAGGCGTGGCTTCTTCTTCTTTTTTGCGCGAGAGAGGGGGCCCACCCCAACGGGGAGCTCAACTGCAAACAAAGACGCACCCAGAAAAATCGCGTTCTTGCAGGAATCTCCCTTTGGGATGCACCTGTTTGTGTTTTGGAAGTGCCGCAGGAAGTGAGGCGTGAGAGAAGGCCCCATGATTTGGGAGAGATGTGAGGGTCGTAGTTCTCTTTATTCTTTGAGCAGTGCCCGTTTTTGGGTTGAGAGTTATTTAAAAACCCTATTTGGGTGTGCCTTTCTCTGAGTGACTCCGTGGCCCCCTTTCTCAGTCGTCTCAGTGTTGGGCTAAGCTTGTTTCGGCAACCGGCCTTTGCCCCCCTTCAAAGGGAAAGTGAAAGGAGGTTGTTTATACCATGGTTGTTTTGAACGTATTTTTAACACCAGAAGTCGGCCCATCCCTGCCCCATGCTTGGCTTGGCTCAAAGCGAAGGCCATACTATAAGTAGCAAGTTTATCAATGCAAGGTTTTCTTCACATCAGCCCGAAGACCATGTTGGTTCCTTGGTCCAATATGGAGGTTGGTCGCAACGCCCATGCCGACCCTGTCTTGGTGTCCACCACGAGGCGTTGGCCTTTGCCTCTTCCCTCGTGTTGTGGTTCCGTTCCTTACCTTTGTCCGGAGCTCTAACCGGTCGAAAACGCCAGCACTTCTGCTTGGGAACAGTAGGGATCATGATCAAACGCATATGGATTGTTGACGACTCATCGTACAGTTGTTGTTTGAGGGAGCCATGATTGACAGTTACCGGAGTTTCGTTTCCCCGGTCCAAGTGCTTCATATTCGCAGCTTGGGATTTGTTCCCCAGATAGCTGAAAGCCATAGGGGTTCTAACTTCTAATAAAAAGGGGAAAGTGTTTTGCAGGATTGATGAGCTGGTGCTAGGGGGCGTGCAGTTTGGGTGCTGGTGTAACACCAGTTTAGGTGCTGTTTGGTGCAGGTGACGGCGCGGGCGCATTTTTTGGAGGTGCTGGCGTACAATTGTCGGCATGTTTTTCGCTATATGGGGTCTATGCTGGTGTAGTTTAAAGGGCGTTGGCCAGAACAATAATGGTGTTAAACCCACAAGGATGCGGTAGTTAGTTGCTAGTCTACCAGACCTTTACTTTCCTTTCAAGCCAGTTCCAACATGACTTGAGTCAATGTAGTTAGTTGGCTTGGTTCTTGCCATCTTGTTCGGATCTGCCGCTGTCTTTTTGCCGGGAACCACTCCCAAGGCACGTAAGGACACCAGCCATTTCTGGGGCCCATGTTTGAGACAGGTGCACAGTGCACTCGCGCTGTCAGGCAGAAAGCACCAACTCATGATAGGTGATGTTCACTTCGGCTTGCGGAAAGCCGAAATCCGGGGAGTTCACCCAAACAGATTGTTTCAGCAGAGGCCTCTTCTGATTCAATTAGAGTCCGCTTGGCTGTTAAGGCAATGAGCCTTATGAGGCTGGCCACTTCACAAACCAATGCACTCACCATGGCGAATGGTAGATGTCCGGGGGCTGTGTGCGTGGTAAAAAAAGGGTCGAGATACCTGTAAGGTGATTCGCCCATGATGTCTGCTAAGCCTGGAGGAAGGTTGACCGGCTTTTGGTACCCCACGGAAAACCAAACGAACAAGAACTAGCTCGGGAACCAATTGCATTGGAAAAAACACACCCACCAGGCAATGCCACTGGAAAGCAGCCCCTGTACAAAGGTTGGGTCAACCAACCAAAACGGGTTCCAACTGCTATCCTAGCGTTCGGGTTACTGGCATTTCTGGGTCCTTTGGGCAACTGAGTTTACAACCCAGTAGTCTAGGGGTACCTTCCATTTCCATTCTTTCCAGGGATCCGAATCTTTCTACCAAAACCTCCGGAAACCCAGGGAAAACGGATCCAGAGGTGTTCGAAAAGAATGGAAACGGAATTTCCAGCCCTAGAAGTAGGGACACCTTGAGGTGATGTTTTGGAGCTTTTGTTCTCCAGGACCTGGGGCCCGCTGCTGCGGGAGCAAGGCTTCCAGCGCCCCAAGGAGGAGCTTCTTTTTGGGGTGGGATGCATGGCAAGGGGCCCCTGTTCCCCTGGCTGTTGGATGGACGGGAGAGGTGTCCAAGTTTGCAGATCTAAACAGGAGCTAAGAAGCTAGGAGGTCTGCAAGGACATGGTGGCATTTGTGCATTTTGGTTACCATGGTTTTGGAGAATTGAACTCATTTCATTGCCATTCTCGCTGATTTCTCCAATTTACCCCTAAGGATTTTAGACAATCGTCGGAATTTTTCAGGGAACCTTGACTTGACCCCTCACAGATGCCAGAATTCGAGATTCGCGATGGGCAGACGAACCCAATGTACCGTCCACTTTCATGGAGAGTTGAGTTCCTTATTGGCGAAGGCGGCACGCCGGATCCTGCGCTTGGCTACTTGGATCTTTCGTTTGCTGTTTACGGAGCATGCTACTTTGGGCAGCTCAGTCAGGTTGTGTGCCATTGTCAGGACACCTTCCATTTGCTGAAATTACTTTGTTTGAATGTTTTTTCCTCTTGGTTTTTAAGGGAATCGATTTCACTACTGCAAATATGTGTTTCTCCTTTTTTCCAGGGCACCCAAGCAAATGGCAGGTTTCAAAGGGGTTCTACCTGTATGGACCCTGGTAACCGTTCAAAGCTGGGGTTGGGAAGACGCTCGTTTTACTCGCGGTAGGCAGTGCAGATGGGCCACTTTTGCACCGCCCGTGCCGATAGCTCGAGGAGTTCTGGCTCTGGGCGCTGCCGCGGCTCCGGGAGCGCCGGAGCCTCGACAACGCTCGGATGAAACCCATGAGGGGGTGAGTGGATGGGTCCATACCCCAAGCATGGGCCCTCAACACGGCCTTTTTTGAGATCCAACACCTAAATGGAGGTCCTGGCCCCTTCAACGGAGGGTCCACTCATGCTTAGGGTCATGAAAAAATGGTGCAACCCAGGACCGAAGCATTTGGTTCCATTGTCTACCGTGGACAGGGGGCTGTTGTGTTTTTTGGGGGGTGAAGCATTGAGTTTAAGCATGTGCCAACGGTTTTCTTGGTAAGGATGGGCATCAACCTAAACGTTGGGCTTTAGAGAGGTTTGCCAAAAGGAACCCATGAAGCGCATAAGGTCCGACCACCGGCCAATACAAACCCGTCAAAGACCTGAATGATCCTAGATGTCAAAAGTGGTATGAACCCGAACCAATATGCACAAGTACGGGACCAAAGGAGTGAGGCCGTCAGGTACCACCACCCTTTGGATACCTGCATATATTCAATGTGCCCTGTTCTGCCTTTGGGACTGAATATGTCGAGGCGAAGCTTTCCCAGTTGGGCACTTGGATGCGATTTGCGCGGAGAAAGGAACACCGACGGCTTCCGGAGAAGTGAGCCAGACAAGTGCCCTAGCCCTAGGCCTCCATGAGTTTGCCCCAAAAAGTTTGGGTCCAGAGTCAGTCAAGATCGTGGCAAATGGTCTTGCTTCGGTTCTTGTGGTGCCCGGATTTCGGAACAGCGGAACCGTCAGAGGAAGCCAAACTGCTGGTGGCCCCACCTTGAACCTCGGAAAAGCGGGCGGGGGATCACTGTTTTTGACCCCATTTTGAAGAACCCCCTGAGACACTTTGGTGCATGTTGCTTGGATGTCAGGACTTCAACTTGTTTGCCAACCAATGGGCTTTCCGAATAAAACCACTAAAAGCCAAGCTTTTAGCAGGGGAGCAGAAACAACCGAGAGCAGTTGGCCAGGCCACCCGGATTTCCTGCTGATGGCCGAGTGCTACGAGTACGAAGCTCGGCCGAAAACATTTCGCGAGATCCGCGGCCCCCGGTGCCCGGTGGAGAGGAGCTTTCTCTCAGCGAGGTTCTGAGCGTTTTGTATTACACCCTGGGGTTACACCCGTGGGATATGACCCAGAATGGTTCAAAATAACACTGCTGTATCCAGAAATGGGGCTAAATGGGGTCAATAACCAGTGGGTGTATGCCCAGGGTGTGGTACAAGAACCCTTATAGTTAGATACCCCACGTTTAACTAGGTCCCCAGCCAGGTGCCCTTTCCCCTTTTTTGGTGCCCTTATCTCCCCTTTTTTGGTTGGGAGGGTTCCCCTAGTGAAATAAACTACAGAGAAAAACAAAAAAGGAACAAATCGGGTACCCTTATTCTAACCTCTCCACTGGAGGACCTAGTTAACGCAAAGAGCCAAACGGGATTGATGGTTGGCTCTTTCACTTTTCCAGACAGTACAAAAGAACTTGGCAAAAACAGAGCCATGGGGTTCATGTGGAATCGGCGACTCATGTGGAGGGCCCATGCCAGAACAAGCCACGAAGCATATCGAACTTTGGACTGGCGTGATTGCGGGGAAGAGAATTCTGTTGCCTTGTTCCCATTCCCAATTTGTGCCGCGCAAAGGAGAGGGAAACCAGCTTTGGTCAGGCTTTCCGAGCTATTTCCTTTCTTAGACCCCCCCAAAAGTAGCAGTTTCAATGGACGCCACTGGTGAATTGCAACTTTTTGACTCGGGGAAATCCAGTGACCCCTGTTCAACGGTGATTCACACTCAGCTCGCAGGCAATTCCTCGCCCAATAAACGCTCGGTACGAGAAAGCTGGATTTGTGTCAAGTGCACTCATGTAGCACTTGTTTCGTCTCTGTCCACGAAACCCATCGTTTGATGGCGGCCGTCCCAATCTTCGCTCCCCCACCTTTCCTCAGGATGAGATCCTGCCGAGCGGCACCATGTTGGAGATCTTGCGGCAAGGCTTCAGCGCTGCCTACGACAAGGTGGTCTATGACAGGCCTGTGAAACATGGCACTAGCGGGGTCTCTGTTTAGGAGACCACCCAAAATGCGGGTTGTCCTTTCGGCTTCCCTAGAAAGCCATAAACATGGAGTACCCCCAAAAAAGATACACCCATTTAGTGTGTGATTTGGTGAGGGTATGTTTTTGTTGTTTTGTTTTGTTTGGGGGGGTTAAAGGGAAACCAGCGGGAAAACCGCTAGTTTGGGGTATATCCATTGTTGAATCACTCGTCCAGGGAGGACTTCAGCGTGAAACCAGCGCAAGTGCTTGGCACACTGTTTGCGCGCTATGTGCACGACCCTGCAACGGTCCGCGTGACCTCCGATGCTTGTGTGCACGCCCTGGGCAGCGAATAATAATGTCCCCAAACCCCGGACTTGCTCCTCCACATGTGCTGTTCGATCCAGATGCACGCAAATGGTAATGGCCACCCCTGAATGAGGGGGGTTATGGGCATTCGGGGCATGAAACAAGTAGAGGACCAATGTGTGTGTGCATATGTATACACGGCGGTTTCTCAGAGTACTCCTTGTTACCCAGTCTGTTTCCCAAGTTGTATTGGTGTGTCTCAAGATAGGCCACCCCACAAATGGCCGCTATGTTTTCCATAGCCGGCTATGCTACAGCATTCCGGGGGATTGAATCGCAAGGAAGCCGCTGACAGGTGGGCAAGAGGATTCTCTCCACTCACTTGGGGCTTGAGTGGCTTGTTGGGTTTGGACCATTTTATGGGCTTTAGTCATGTTCAGTCACCTTTTGGTACGGCCAATCACGTTTTTGGGTTTGGACCATTTCAGTGGCCAAGAGAACAAGTTCCAGGACTTCTTGTGGCCTTTCACTCGGGAAGTGAGTGGCTCGCCGGGAGGCTGACGGAGGGCCACTTGGACAAGCTGCGGGGCCACATCTATGGCCACCCGTGCATGGCCACAGGCAGGAGGGACTCGACGTCCACTCGGCCGTTGGCGGGCCGGCGGGAAAACGAGGCTAGCCTTCGTTGGCCCCGTTTTTTTTTTTTTTGGGGGGGGGGCCGGCGGAAAGAAATCTGCGTGTCGCATCCAAGGGGTTGAAAGCCAGTCAAAGGGCACTTTGGGTTTGATGGCGAAGCTCTGGGTGGATGGATGGTAATTACTGGCCGCGGAAGACTTGCAAGGAGGTTTGCATCATCAAAGCTCGCAAGAATCACGTGCTTAGAGGAGAGGAGTGGATTTGCTACTTTGCCGATTCGGACTGTAAATGCGCACGGAACGCTGAAACCTCTCAGTGAACGAAGCTCTATGGAGCTATAGTCCGCTTTAGCTCACGTTGTTGTTTGCTACGTTTGAACCAATGCCCTCGATGTGCATGCGTTTCATGTTGCTGCATTGCATGTTTTGGGTGTGCCCCTGTAGCCCTCCGAATCTGTTGGAAATCAAGTCTCCAAATGGATCGATCCAAATGCCATAAAGGGGCTAGTGCGCCGTGGCCGTGGCCGTGGCACCTCTTTATGGCAAATGCGTACTTTGTTTGGCGGGCGGCGAGTCAGAGTCCCTTTGATTGCCCGGTTCGCACCTGGCCGGTTTCTAACACAGATGCTACCACTCATCTTCGCATCAGTAACCACTGCATCAACACCTCTCGAACCTTCAACCCAGATCAAGTGATTCTGGCTCACTGGGCCAAAAGTACTTCACGGGCTTCGCTTTCTTTGTTGATGGGTTCCCTACAGCCCAGAAAGAATTCGTTCTCTTGTGCTCCCCTTTGGGTCGCTGGATTGTCTCCCCCAAACCCCGCCCCAAGGCAAAGGGAGAGCGGCATGGTGTGAGATCTCATTTTGTCTCCCTGTGTTCCCCCAAGGCCAGCTTGGGTTGAGGTGAAGGCTACTCGTTGGATGGCGCTTAACGGAAACCGACCCAAGTGGTTTTGAGAGCCCAAAATGTCCAAGCCCAGCCAATGCAGACAGTGGCCATGCGAAGAAACAAGGCACGTTGAACTGGTCGAATTTCAGGCCCTCCCCCCCCCCCCCCCGCGGCCCGCCCCTAGGGAGTGTCCCCCTTTTTTGCTGGAGTCCACAAAAAGCGGCTCCAGCTTGCCTTGGGCCTTCCCAGAAAAAAGAGGCGATGTCATAAGCAAACCCAAAACGTGAAGAACATCTCAACAAAATATCCAAAATTCCCGAAAGATTCCCAACACATCAAACAAATCCCACAACAGAACCCTGCACCCAACTATCGAGAGCTGTGGCTCAACTGAGCCACAATCAATACAGCTGTTTCAGCCTCAAGCCTTCCCGCGGTGACAGCTGTTAGCTGTTCGGTAGGACCTGACCCCTCCTTGGTCATGGCCCCATCACCCGGACAGTTACAGATTTGGGGACGGGGGTTGATGTTGGCCTTTCTGGTCAACTTTCTCATGTTTTCCATATCCTTTGGAGATGTAGATGGGGGGGTTCAGGAGGAATCCCGAGTTGGCGGTGACTATTCTTTTGTTGGTCTGTTTTCAAAGATGTTCTTGGTGGTTTGGAATGGTATTTGTATCTCTCCTGGTAAAGCAGCTTATTGGATCTCCCTCATTTGGAGCAGAGTGAGGATCAATAAGGACTGCAGAGATGAATTGGTGCTATTTGGTATCTATGATTATTGCTGGGTATTGGTATGTATTCTTCTTCGAGAGCGACCTATTGATGCGGTCTTCGAGTACCTCGTCATTGGTGCCATTGGTATTCTCTATTTGTCCATATGCCGATTTCTTCGTGGAGGAGCTGCAGTATTGGACTATCTATTTGTGATTATTCTTCGTGAATTGGATGAGATACAGGCCGGGTGTCGTATTTGGGTGCAAGGGAGATGTCGGCTGACCCCTTGGATACCCTTTCGGCTCCCTATTTTTGTGATGTTATGGGTGTTATGTACCCTCGCCCTGGATTGGTTTATTCATGGAAATGTTCCTTGCAACGAGCCCCCCGGATATGCAGTGATCATTTATCTGGGACATGCAGAACCGCTGTTTCCTTCATATGGCTCAACCAGATTGAATGTGAGTCCTGGCCCCTCGGTGGGCCTCGGCCATGGAAGCTGCCTTGGAGGCGTGAGACTTCTGCTTGGCTGGATGGGCGTGGCCTTATTCTTTTGGGGATGGATTCAGGTGGTATTCCGTCTCTGGGAGCTTCTTGGCCGAGTTTGCAGTATAAGAGGTATAGAAGATGAGCAGCTTGGCGGGTTGGACATTGACCTGGACAAGTTTGGACGTGATTTGGAAGGCCCTTTGGCGACGTATGGCTCAGTGAAAGGGAGAACCTTGAACAATGCTGGGCGCGGCAACTGTTTTTGGTACGCTGTGAGCCAACTTCGTTTTGGGCATGCCAGGAGCTGGAGGAGGACCAAAAGGCAAGTGCTCATGGAGGCCAATCAGGTAACCAAGGAGAAGCACAAAGCAGGTGGTAAATGGGCTGATGAAGAGGCTATTCAGGCTACAGCCAATTTTCTTCGCCAAGAAATTTGGGTGGTCAACGTGAGTGGTAAGTGCAACTTCAATCACTTCGGACAGGTGGTGAGGTTTTTGCCCACAACTCAGGATCAGGAGATCAAGCCATTGGTGCTCAGGCTCTGGAGCGACCACTTTGAGGCCATCCGGGTGAACAGCTTTTGGCTTGAAAATCGCGAGGTTTCATGGGAAGCCTACAAGAGATCGCCTCTTGACTTGTGTGTCCCTTGTTTCGAGCTTGGAGATATGGAAGATGGCGGAGGCACGAATCCTTGTGGAGATCTTTGTGGAGGTGGCAAAGGTCACAAGAAAGGGAGGAGCAACTCACAGTTTGATGACATTCCTGGAGTTACGCATGATATCAGCAGATACCTTTCTTTCGTTCTTCGGCATGGTGCAGTGAAGGAGGGTATTGAAATGGACTGAGGGATACGTGAAGGTGGAGGATTTTGGCCAGAAAGCCACATGCCTCGATCGACAGCGTGCTATTGGCGGTCAATCGGGATGAGAAGGGCAGATTTGAGGTACATCAAGGAGAAGATGGGTGGCTTATTCGCGCAACCCAAGGCCACAACAAGGAGTTGGACCTCAGCAATGAGATGCATCGCCAGATTACAACGCCGGATGAGGTGGATCAGCCCACTTTATTTCATGGCACTTATTTGGCGGCGTGGGGGTCCATCAGACGTCAAGGGCTGCGATGTGGTCACAGGCAACACGTGCATTTCAGCACTACCTATTTTGTGAACCATGGCCAATCAGGTATGAGGCCGGGTTGTGATCTGGTGGTTGCAGTGAATGTTCAGCAATTGCTTGATGCAGAGATGCCCTTGTACAAATCAACCAATGGGGTCTATTTGGTGGGCCAGGACATTCCACCGGAACTTCTGTACAATGTTTATTGGGCTCGTGGTCCGCACGACTACAGGATGATTTGGCAATATGGATATTGTGTGCTACATGAGCAGATTGATCGAGATGAGATATTTGCTGCCAAATGTCGGAGACTAGGCTTGGAGCCTTGGGGTTTTCTTCAGCCCCCAGATGATGATGGTGCAGGTGAAGAGGAAGTGAAAGAAGAGATGGAAGAGATGGAAGAAGTCCTCGTGGAAAATGAGGAACATGAAGAAAGCAAAGAGCATGAGGAGCTGCATGGAAATGAAGAGGTAGCTGATGTTGTGGATCAGGCCTCGGGTTCCGATGGATATCGAGGCTTGGGAGAAGTGTGGAGTTTGTCGGACGCGCCAGCTTGGCAGCGAAGGATCCGATTTAAGTCACGATCCCGCTCCCCCGGGGGGAGGCCGCTTCATAATAGTCTTCGGACCCCGCTCCCGAGGAGGCGCCCTTTGCCGCGGTTGAGGAGAGATATCAGCGGAGCTGGACTATGGAGTACAGAGTACAAGGAGCAATGGCGCAGTCTCAGGCTTTTTAACTTTATGGTTTGCTTCCTGGCCTATCTCGGTGCATGTGGCATGGAGATTACCCGTCATATTTGCGGAGGCGGTGGAGACGATTACTCCTACTACTCCACCGATGACGAAACAATTTGGCAGAGCAATCAACGTGAGGAGCCCACGAAAAGAGAGTCAGCGTGGAGGAAGCACGGCAAGGACCGTCGAAGGTTCACTTCGCCGTCACCCGGACATTCACCATGGCCCCAACCTATGAGCGGCCTCGTGAGGGCACCCCGCCCCCTGCTAAGACGAGTGGAGGTGATGATCGGCCTCACAAGAGGAAGAGGCGCAAGCACAAGAAGATCTATGTTGAAGACACAGATCCCCGGCCCCCTCTCCCCCGCATAAGACGGGTTGAGGAAGAAGGACGAGCCTATGCTGGGCATCGATGGACGACCAGCCCTGCCTCGCAAAAGATCTTTACAACAGGAGGACCTTTGGACCTTATGAGATTGGGGCAGTATTTGCAGCTCACGCCGTTCAATGATGAAATTAGGGACCTTTTCCCATTAAACCGGTATCAGACCTATGCACAGATTCTGGCTGAGAAAACCCGGGTTGTTATGACGCTCACCAAAATGTCTGAAGCCCAAGTCCTGAGCCTCAAAACAGCGTGTCGGAAGCTCATGGGCAAAGCTGTTCAACAGACGAGGGCCAAACAATTCTCGATCAGGAAGATGAAAGAGATGTCAAGGATGCTGTTGCCTTGGCCACCAGGCATGTTTCTGATGGGGATCAACAAACTCTTGTTGGCAAGTTTGTGAGTTGGAAGATCAAACCGATGCATTTCATCCCTGAAAGCTCGCCCTCCACTATTGCTGGTTTGCTGGGAATCGATGAGTACACTGTTGAAAAGGTGAGATCCATTCTCCTGGACTATTTCAGTTTTCCCCCAGAAGCAGACCCGGCGCTGGGATGGTACTTCGACGTGACAGGTGGACAGACTGACATTGTTCCTATTTGGGCGAACTCCCTCGGGCTTATTGGTGGGGGTGGGGAACATGACGATGAGTCTGT